ATGTTAACCAGATTCAGACCCAGCAGAATAACTGAGTTTTCAGCATTTGTTTTCCATGCTGGGATGGAAGCTGGGACTCTGCAGGCATCTCCACGAGGATGAGGGTGCAAAGAGTATACTCAGCCCAGCAAATTCACATCCTCATGCAGGGTTGCCATGTAGGTACCTGGCCACAGCTCGCTGCATGTGTGCTCACTTATCCCAGTCACCTCAAGCACGATTCACAGCCAGCACGCTTGGCATCCCAGACACAGAATCACAGAATTGTAGGGGTTGGAAGGGACCTCCAGAGATCATCGAGTCCAACCCCCCTGCCAAAGCAGGTTCCCTACAGCAGGTCGCACAGGTAGGCATCCAGGCAGGTCTTGAACATCTCCACAGAAGGAGACTCCACCACCTCCCTGGGCAGCCTGTTCCAGTGCTCCGTCACCTCACTGTAAAGAAGTTCTTGCACATGTTTGTGCAGAACTTCCTACGCTGCAGTTTCCGGCCGTTTCCCCTTGTCCTGTCTCCACTCACCACTGAAAAGAGTCCGGCCTCGCCATTCTGCCCCCCACACCTTAGATATTTATAGACCTGGATCAGGTCCCCTCTCAGTCTCCTTTTCTCAAGGCTGAACAGACCCAGTTCACTCAGCCTTTCTTCATAGGGGAGATGCTCCAGGCCCTTCACCATCTTCGTGGCCCTCCGCTGGACTCTTTCCAAGAGATCCCTGTCTTTTTTGTACTGGGGAGCCCAGAACTGGACGCAGTACTCCAGATGAGGTCTTACCAGGGCAGAGTAGAGGGGGAGGATCACCTCCTTTGACCTGCTGGCCACGCTCTTTTTAATGCACCCAACTCACACTGCTGACCACCAGCATCATGAACCCAGTGCTCTTTATCTAAGCCCCAAAGAGGAGGAGTCCAGCAGCCACACACAGTCTGGGGCCAGCAAGCACCAACCTCCAAACATCAGTGCCCGAGCTCTTCCTCTTGCTGAGAAAGGAAAGCTCCTGGGAAGCGGAGCTCTCTCTGTGTTTTCCTGTATCCCGCCCATTGCAAGGCTAAAAAAAACCTACAGTTGGAAAGAAGTATATATTGATTGATTTTCTTTAATCTCTCGTTTGTTATTTTTAGGCTACTGCTGTCTAGGAGACAGGCAGCTAACCACAGCTTCTCACATTCTTTGGAGGAAAGGAGAAAACGAGTTTTCTCAAGCCTCTCTTGTTCCTACTGAAAAATCAGATCTGGGACACCTCACCTCCATCTCAACAGTTGGTTTTTGCTCCTGAAGCACAAGCATGATTTCAGCTGGAAGGGAGCACACAGTTTGCTGTTGCCCAGGCTACCCCACATGGAAAGAGGGGAAAGTCAGACATTTCTTCCCTGCTTCAGAAAAGCCAAGTTAACTTCTGCCCTTGGGAAAAAAAAAAAAAAAGAAAAAAAAAATCTTCTGAGTATATTTTTAATTTTTACTTACATATATTTGTAGACTTCATTTAAAACAAAATGCTTCTGTGCAAAGGAGATGAACAAGGCAAAGAACCTGCATTCTGTTATTGGATGAGCACTGACATATCGTGATAAAATTTCCTACTGTAACTAAAGCAAAAAAATAACAATAATCAAATAAGAATCCCAGCCAGTTTCATAAAGAGATCTACAGAAACAGAGGCAATCTGGATGACCTGATTCCAACAAAAGCTTGCTAGGATCATCTATTATTTTACACGCTCCTTTGCTTAATATCTGCTAAAAAGCATTTTAAAAAGAACCCCAGATTTTCCTCACAAATTGAGATCTTTTCATTCATGAGGTTTCAAAATGGGCTATTCTGATAAATGCAAACCTTATTTCACAAGAGGCTTTTCAAAGAAGCAAATCTTCATCATCGCACAAAGAAATCAGCATCACTCAACAAGTATTTTTCTAGCAGAAAACAAAACAAAAATTAATTTAAGAGGTTCCAGCTGTCCTAGAACAGCAGACAGGGTTTGCTTTACCACACAACCCACCCAGCTTTCAGCAGAACAGCTTTTGCACTCCCAGCACCCCCAGAACCTGAGCTGCCCGTGGTGGGGGCTCTGCCCTCAGCAGTCCTTGCTCCCACCCAGCAGCACTGATTTAAGCAGGTTAATTGTGAGCACAGCCAAGTGACAGCAGCAGGAAGAACCAGTTGCTCACTAGGAGAGTTAAAACAAAATAACAAGAAAAAGAAATAACCACAACCTTGTAACAGCCCCCATGGAGGCATGGGGGGAAGGAATGATCCTATACATTGCTGCTGGTGGGAACAGATCCTCTCTTTATTATTAATTACAGCAAGCTGTGTCTGGGACTAGGCACACCTGCCTGGTGATCCTCCCACAGATGTCAGCTGCCCATCATCCTGAGCTGTCAGGCAGCCACCAAACACCTCTCAGACAGGACAGCACGGCCCCAGAGAAGCTACATGCACCCTTACAGCCTGCTTGCAGGGATGCTGATGGAGCACGCTCATCTCTGTAGAATCACAGAATGCTCCTTCATCCCCAGCCCAGGGCTCCAGCAACACCCCCAGCCCTGGTGGAGCCAAGGCAGCCATCTCTCATTTTGGATGACCCTGCTGCTCAGCTGATTGGGTGGATAGGGACCAGGTGGGGGTCAGGCTTTTAGTTGAGTACCAGGCCTGTTGCAGAAGGCCAGGCCACTCGATGGAAGCAGGGCTACTGATGGGGCCAAGCCTTTTAATGCGGACCGTGCTGCTCAATGGGGACCAGGCTTCTCTCTCCCCTGTGCCCATGGAGCTCGCTGAGCTGGGGCTGAGCCCAGATGACCGCAGCCCATCCAGCTGTACTTTGTCTCCTCCAGCTCCGCACAGATGTTTGGTGTTCCTTTCACTGCTGTGCTCCCCACCCCCCACTCTGCCCCAACTCCAAATTTTGCTTTCAAAAGCTCAGCACATCCATAGTCAAACCAGTGCAACCCATTGCATTTGGTCGCATTTCATGCCAATTTTTCTCCTCCAGCCAAAGTTCTCTAGCTGGATCTGTATTTCTTCAAGGCAGTTGGACAGACACTGAAAAACCAACTTGCACTAACTCCAGTTTCACGTTTGGGATTTGCTACATTGTGAGATAAGCGGAAGGGGGAAATGACTTCCAGCACTTCTCAGTGCAGTCGTGCTCCTGTTCCCAAATTGGTACAGCACAAAAAGCGAACTCGGCCGTCAGCGTGGTGAGCACAGCCCCAAGATGTGTCTAAACATCCAGCTGTATGTCACCATTTTGTATCATTTCTTACGGATTTAATTCCATCCTGTTTCAGGCAACTTTATTGTCTGGGCACAGACCGTCATGTATGCAGATAGCAAAATCCTCCCACCCCAAAACCAATTTTAAAAATGAATCCAGGAAAAACACTTTAACAAAACCCCTTCCAGCAGCAGTTGCTGCCAGAAAGACCAGACAAGAATTCTTCCGTCCCTAATGTTACATACATTGTCGTTTCATACTGAGATTCTCTTTTTTTTCTTTTTGGTCTTTTTTAAAACAGGAAAGATTGATAAGAAAAGAAGGAAGTCAACAGTCTCTAGCAGAAGGTGTAGCTAAATATTGTATCTAAGCACACGCCCTCCAATGTGCATTATCATACATTCAGCATTGCTGGGAAACATTTTGGAATACAAAACGAGTAATGTGGATATTATAAAATGGCTGTCCTGGAATTAGATTTTAAGATATTGATGTGTCACAATAATAAAATAGAAAACACTTTTAATATCAGCGGTGAGTGGTGTGATCCCTTCTGTATTTATTTTGTGGCCGTTGGTTTCTTTTTTTCTGCAGGGAAACCTTGGGAAGGAGAACGTGAGCCCCCCGGCCCTGGGGCAGCAATGCCTCCTGGAGGTGAGGCCCAAAGCACAGCCGTCCCACTTGGGCACGTACTGAGCAAGGAGCCTGGCCGGCCCCTGCAGACCTCACTGTGGCATCAAACAGAATTTAAACAAAAGGCTTCTGTCAAATTTATCTGAAAAAAAAAAAAAAAACAACACCCATGACTTGTTTTATTCTGTTTCTTTGTAAGCATCTCTTTTAAAGATATCCCCCCAAATCCGCACTCTCTGCATTCTCCTGTGCTTTCTCTTTTTGTTTCCCACTTTTTCCCCTCTTTGCGTTTAGTCTTTCCACCTCTGCAGATGTTTCTCTCTGCACTCATTTCTGTGTTGGACTGCAGGGTAGGAAAATCCTGAAAGACCACAAGTACTGAATCCGACCCTGCAATATTTGGTTTGGGGAAAACAAAACCAAACCCCAGTAAATGGCTTATTTGTACTATCTCTTCCCAACCTCTCTGGGCTGCACTGCCCACCCCAGGACTGAGTCCTGATCTGTGTGATGGCATTTCTTAGGCCAGGAGCTGGGGACAACCGGGTGGCAATCCTCACACAGCCCCAGCGCTGAGGAAAGGGCCAGACTGGAGCCAAGGTCACATCTCTGGGGTCTCCCATGGGGGAAGCAGGGTGGAACTTTCCCACCCATGGGGCTTTCCTCCTCCTGTTCGAGGTGATGTTCCAGAACGAGGCTGAGCACGGATGGAACGCGGAGTAATTCCCCATCAGGGAATAATTCCCCATGCTGCTGCTGGAGGTTTCCTTCCCTTCAGCCCCGCTTTCTGCTCAGTCCCGCTGCTAACAGTCAGCCCCAGTGCTGTGTGTGCCGCTCGGGGAATTTCCCCATCCGTGCTGAAGGCAGAGCCACAGTTCCTGCAATTAACACAGGTGCTCTGCACAGCCAGAGCCTACGAACAGCTCTGGGACGGGGAGTTAAACCCACCCGGAGCTTCCAAACCCAGCAGACTTAAGCAAAGCCAAATGGAAAAAACACTAACTCTATTTTCATCTTAAGCAGCCGAGCCTCCCGCGCCAGCTCCGATCCACGTCTCCTCTCTGGGATCTAATAGGGAAGCGCAAAGCACTCCATGATTTATTCAGTACCCCGGAGACCTTTTTTTTTTATCTTTTATTTTTCGTTTCCACATAAATTACACAAGCACTTTATAAAATGAATACACAGAAAACACCTTATAAGTGCATAACTTAAAAAAAAAAAAAAAAAAAAGCTTTAAAAAAATCTCACTGAAAATAGGTTTTCTGCTCGCTTGCCTGTACTAGCTGTTTAAATTGGCAGTGCTGTTTTAGATTATAAGTAACTGAAAAATATATACTGTATATATAATATCTATATATTCCCGGCGTTTGCTATAGGAAGTGCTTTGCTTAATTGTGTCTCATTCCCTCAGAACAATTAAAGAAACAACAAAGTCAGAAGTGAAATCAATTTTCGCCCTCGCAAACCGCCTCATAAAGGGACACGGGTAAAACAACCCATCGGGCCACGCTTTGCAAATGATATGGAAATAACCCATGGAACAGAGCGGCAGCAGCCCTGCCCAGCCAGGCTCTCCTTGTTATTAAAGCCCGGGCTGATCGACGCCGTGGCCACAGCGGCCAGGGACAGTTTGGGCTCTTGGCGCAATTGAGATATCACATTTACCGTCCTCAGGAGGCTGTCAGTTCCTTCACTTCTTCCCCCCTCGCAGGAAAAAAATTAATGAAAAAGGGGAGGAGATGCTGCTAGGTGAGATCCAAAGGGCTCGCCACTGCTGCCAGCAGAAATTGCTGCTGGGAGGCCGAGAGACGGGTGGCTTTCTCCATTTGTTGCATCCCCAAACGTCTCCAGCTGCCAAGAGCCCAGCATGATGCCTGGCTGCACAAACTCGCTTCCCAGGGAGCCGCGTCCTTTTGTTCCAGTCAGTCCGAAGTGCGTACCTACAGACACACCTCGTATATACGTGTAGTCCTGTGGGATGCCCCGAGTCCTGCCGAACACAGAGGAAGTTCCTCCAGCCGGGCACTCGCCCGCGGCCACGTCTGTCAGGGCTCAGCTTTGTCTGGCAGCGTGTCAGGAAGTTTGAGGCCGGCACCAGAGACTTTAGGAAGAACAAAAGGGCTGGGGGGAGGCGAGCCGCTGCTGCTCCGCAGTCCTGCAGGCAGGGAGAGTTTGGGGGCTGAATTTCCCTTCCCCATTGGTCCTCATAGAGGGACGATCCATGGAACGCACGTGTGCCCTGTGACAAAGGGGACACCGCAGGTGCTGGCCCTTATTCGCAGGCGGAGGCAACGGTAGTGACGCTGGTGATCTTGGTGGAGTCATCAGACCAGGGCTGGAGGTTCTGCAGGGCGAAGAGAGAGGAGTTGTGCACGCAGATGGGGTCGGCCTGGATGGGCTGGTTGATGGTTTTTTGGAAGGCCTCCTGCTGCAGCTGCATGAGGATGCGGTTCGCTTGCTGCCGCTCGGCCTCCCGCTCTTCCGCTGTCTGCCTCCTAGGAGAAAGGCAGACATCAGGGGGTTGTGGGGTGGGAATGGGGAGGAAAAGAGGGGCTGGGGCTCGGGACACAGCCGTGACCCCTGCCCCACAAACCACTGGTATGTTCCATGCACTGCGGGCTGTGAATAGCTTCTTTGACCTAAGGAAAAATCACTCCCTCAGGCTGAGGTGAAAAGCTCCACTTTATTTCTGGCCCTGGGAGAAAACCACACAGGAATTAAAGCACCCAAATGAGCAAAGAGGGGACTATAAAGTGCAATTTCCTGCAATGCTGCAGCAGGGACCCAGGGGATGCCTCAGAGGGGTCTGTAGTAACCTGGCAAAGGGGGAGACAGGCGGCATTCCACCCCTTCCCACACTCAAATCTGCCACCTCTTCCCCTGGGTTGCAGTACTGAGATGGAAGCAAGGAGATGTCCACAGTAAACAGGATAAAAATCACACCCTGCAAGCAGCAAAACATAGTCTAAATACTAGAAACACACAGAGCAATGAGAACAACCAAATGCCAAACAACACTGACTGGGCAGGGCAGAGGAGGGAGTTTTTAAGAGCAGTTCAGACACACATCTGTCTGGAATGACAGAGGCAGAGCTGAGCCCGCTGGGGGTGGATTAGGGGGGAGGCTGGCGGAGATGTCCTGCAGGTCCAAGCCCTGGAGTGTCTGGGAGGAGGGGATAGGAGAGGAATGTCCCAGTGTGCTTAAATCCACAAGGAAAATCCCACATACCTGCCTCCATGGCTGCAACCTGCAGTGCCCCAGCTCCCACCGGGGAGCATCCCTGACACCCCTCCCTTGCTTACAGACAGGGGTAATGACAGCTTTTTAATTTAGCAACTCGCAGGGAACACAAGTCATCCTGTCTTCTTCCTCCATAGTGATCGGAGGTGGCAGCTCTGAGTGCAGTGGTGACACCCGGAGCAGGGCTGGGGACACGGGGCACGAGGCCACCAGGTGTGCACAGGGAGCGTGTTGCTCACGGCTCAGTCACTGTTCTCATCACAGTGTCAACATCTCCCTGTGTCACACATCCCGGCAACGGGGGCTCTTGTGGCACCGGAGCGGCTCAGTCTGCACTGCAATGAATTTTTAATGACTGCATGCACACGGAGGAGATGCTCCTGGGATTGGGAACAGGGAGCCCCACGGCCAGGCAGCTGGAGCACGATGCCACCAGCACCTGGCTGTGCGCTCACCCTTCTGCCGCAGGCTGGGGTTTGCAGGTTCAGATCTGCTCAGTCAGAGGAAGGAACCAAACTTCATGCCCGTGTCTCAAGCGAGCACCCAAATCTGGGGAGGGGAATACTCAACCACCTCATTCCCACGGATGCAAGCAGGGAAGGGGCTTCAGGCACAGGCAGAGCTCTCCTGTAGCCCTTATTTATTCAAGCTCAGGGTCGTGTGGATTCTCCCATGTCTAATACTGTGGCTGAGGTCAGGCTGCAGCCTTTCCCTCCGACAGAACCAGTCATTCCATTCTCTTCGCCCAGCTATTTTTCTTTGTCAAGTGTATGAATAGGTTTGTATCCTCTGCTCCCCTGCCAAAGGGGATTGAACTTAGCCAACAGACGCAAGGAGTATTGACAGACACAAGGAGAGCCAGCCAAGCCGCATTTGCCTCACTTCCTTAGGAAGCCAGGTTAGAAGACAGCTTGACCCTGTTGTACAGGGCTGTTCCTCCTCATCCAGGACCTCATCCTTAGCCAGCAGAAGCCCCTCCAGCCGACAGCTTCCCTGTGCTGGAGGAGCTTCTCCTCCGTGGGCTCTTTATGAGAGGAAACTGCTGAGGGCTCACCCCTTGGTTTCAAGCTCCATATCCCCCATTGCTCATCCAAACCCACACAGCTCCTGGGGAAGCCCATTTCCCCCACACTGAAGAAAATATGGAAACAGTCAGGAGCGAAACTTTAACTTGCAAAATACCTAGGATCAGCTTGAGTATCCTATGGAAGGATTCAGCCCTTTGTGCAAGGAATATCCATCTGGAAAAGGAGGGAGGGAGTACGGGGGGAGAGGCATGGCCCCATTTTCCTGCCTGGAACCCTTTGCTTTGGCAGTGCACACCCATTCAGGCAGCTTGCGTGTAGGAAAAGCAAAAGATGCCTCCCTTCTGCACCCAGCAGTACAGCCACCCAGCTGCCCCTCACTCAGCTTTGGAGCCTGTCACTAAAGCTGACTGCCTCTCCAGGGACACCCTGGGAAGTTGCAGCACTGGGAGCTCTATGAAAGCCCGACCTCCTCTCCTGCCCGCATGTACTGGCACATCCAGGAAGAAAAAATGCATTTTTACAAGGAGGAGCAGTAAGCCCTGCGGGGGGCAAAATCTGAGCATATGCAGGGCTCCATATCCCAACAGCACCAGGTGCAGGATCCAGCCCAGGCTCCCCAGTACCATCCAGCACAGAGGGGTCCCAGAGGGTCCCACTGCCTATGCGGCACTGGGGCTGTGCAGCCACAGCTGTCACTCCCTGACAGGCCGCCCCAGGGCTCTCTTCCAGGTTGGGGGTGTTGGGGGTCCCGCATACTGCAGCCCAGGAACACATACACCGTGTGCCTACCACCCTTTCGCACACATGCATCTGTCTGCACACACTCCCTTGTGCTCACACTGAATACACACGCGCTGAACACACACGCATCCATGTGCACACAGCTGGCTTGCACACGCATCTGCATGCGGGGTCACACGCGTGCACACACCGCGTGCACACACACGTGGCCTACACACACCGTGCAGCCGTGCACACATGCCCTGCTTGCACGCACACAGCTGTGCACGCACACATACACACCAGCCGTGCGCATACACCGAGGCGCCTCCACGCACATGCAGACCCGTAGTGCTCTCACCACCGCATCCCCCAGCCCAGGAGCAGCCCCGCACTGCGACCCGCAGCTCCTCACCTCCACTTGGTGCGCCGGTTCTGGAACCAGGTCTTCACTTGTGCGTCCGTCATCTTGAGGGCCTTGGCCAGGGCTGCACGCTCAGCAGAGGCCAGGTACTTCTGCCGGTGGAAGCGCTTCTCCAGCTCGCAGATCTGCAGGCGGGTGAAGGACGTGCGTGGCTTCTTCTTCTTGGGGGGTGTGCGGTTCTGGTAGGGGTGACCTATACGGCGTGTTACAGTGAAGGGTGAGAGGGCCACTGGGGGGGGACATGGAAGGGGGGATGAGAGGCAAAGAAGCAAGCAGCGACACATCAGCACAAGGGCTCCGGCTCCCGGGCACTGGGCTGGGGACCCCCCCCACATTGGAGCCGCGGAGCAGAGATGGACACTGACGGAGGACCGCGGCTGGGCACCAAACTCCGACCTCGGTGGCCATATAGGGGAGGAGAGCCCGGGGTGGCCGCTGAGCTGCGGGCACGGCAGGGCGGGCAGCTCCTCGCATGGTTTCTACCCGGTTTTCTGCAGCCCTAAGGCCGAAAAATTGAAAAAGAAAGAAAAAGAAAGAAAAAAGAAAGAAAAGAAGAAGAAAAGAAAGAAAGAAAAAGGAAAAAAAAAAACAAACAAAACAAAAACCCGAGAAGCAATGGCGGAGTTGGGGTGGAGGGGCAGCACGGTGCTTTGGGGAAGAAACGAAAAAGCAGCAGTGAAGCAGCGGAGAGTGGGAGTTTGGGGCCGGGGAGGGTCCCGCTGTCTGCCCGCAGTCCGGCCTGGCCCGGATCCACCGCTCCGATCCGGGAGCGTTGCAGAGGGCCCGGCCCGGTGCTCCTCGTCCCGCACGATCGGGAACGGGGGTAATTTCGGTTCGGCGCAGCGGTAACCGCCCTGCCCGCTCGTTTCGTACCCAAAAGAATAACTTCGAGCGTTGAAAACGGGATTCGCTTTTCGTTTTTGTTTCGTTTCGTTTGTTTTTCTCCACGAAAATAATAATTAGAAAAAAATATATATACTAATTGGGTAAAACCCGCAGTATTCGCGGGCTGTGCGGCCGGGCAGGGTCGGGGCCGCGGGGACGGGGCCAAGTGCGAGCGAAGCGAAACGAAACGGGAACTTGGACAAAAGCGGTCCCGGTGCCGCGGCCGAGAAAATTTTCCCAGTTACGAATTCGTAGTTAGTATTTTTTTGTTGTTTTTTTGTTCGTTTGTTTTTTGTTGGTTGGGTTTTTTTTCCTCCTTGTTTTCGTTGTTGGAGTTTTTTCTTTGTTGGGGGAAACAACAACAACAAAACCGAAAATAATAAACGAGCGCGGCTACACCTGGAAAAGGTGGCGGCTTCGGGAAGCGGCTCCAACTCCGCTCGGGGCTGTGCAAAGTCTCCGTTGGTCGGAGAAGCGCTGAGCGCAGCGGGGAGCGGGGCACGAGGGGACCGAAGCGGCCGCACGGACAGGGACCACCGCGCTCAGCCGGCCGGGGCTACTGACGGCGCCTCGATCGACGAGGCAACTTTGGGTGGGTGCTTGTGCGGGCGGCGGGGGCTTGAGGAGTTCTCCGCCTTTCCCCAAGAATTATAATAATGCTAACGACAATAAAACGCAGGGCAGCCGGAATGCTCCCGCATTCCCACCCCTTCGCGCTCCCGGCCTGTTCCAGCCCCGACGGCCCGTCGCCGGCTCCTGCTTGCCCAGCGAGGAGGGGAGCGTGGAGGGGGTCCCGACTCACCTGTGAACCTGTCCTTTGTGTACCGCCTGTTGCTCTCCATCCAGGGGAAGGTGAGCCCCGTCAGACTGTTCATGCCGTTCACCGGCGGCACGGCGGCGGAGAGGGGCTGGTGCACGCCGCCGGCTACGGGGCGGTGGGCCGGGACGCGGATCACCCCCCCGGCCGAGCTCAAAGCGTTGCCGTTCATGCTCACCGCCATGTTCACGTTGTAGGAGCCGGGCAAGGTTCCCATACTGCACGAAGTGCCGCCGTAGGCTCCGGCCCCGCCGCCGCTCGCCCCGTAGCCGCCGGTAACCGTGTTGTAGGCGCTGCCCACGATGCAACCCAGGCCGTAATCGGCCGAGTCCTGCAGCCGCGAGTGGGACACCATGCAGCTGCCCGGCTCCGACGTGTTGAGGATTTGGTCGATGCCGAAGCTGATGGGCTCGGCTTGGCCTTGGTGCAGGTGGTGAGCCCCGAGGTGCTCCATGCCTCCGCCGTCCGTCCTCTCTCCGGCAGCGGAGCCGCGCACTGAGCCCCGGGGCCACTCCGCCGGACCCCGGCACAGCGGCGCAGACCCCAGAAAGCGGCAGCAGAACGCAGGAGCCGGGCGCGGGCAGGCACTACGCTCTCAGACCCATCGCGCCGCAGCTGAGTGCCCCGGGACACCGCGACAGAGCCACGCACGACCGCTCCGAGCCAGCCCCACACTCAGAGCCACGCATCGCCGGGGCGCACGCGGTAGACGCAGCCCACACCCCGAGACCCTCGGATTCCAATAGCACCTCGAGCCCCCACCCAAGACACAACCACCCCCGAGGCACCCACGCACCGACGGGCGAGGACCAGGAGCCGAAGCCCCCGCCGGCAATGTGGAGCCGGAGCCCCGCGGCGCGGAGCTGAGCGCGGCGGAGTGCGTGTGCGAGAGCCCCTCCGTCCTGTTTGCCCATCAATCACACTACCCAAGGCCTGCTGCTCCCAGGCCCTCACTCTCCATTGGCTGCATGCTGAAAGGAGCCGAGTGAATGACAGCGGAGAGGAGCACATGAGAAAAGGAGTTTCTTCTTCCCCGGCCCCCCCTTGAAAAGAAAAAAAAATTCACCAGCCGGCTCAGCCCTATAAAGGCAGCACTGCTGCGCTGGGTGTGTGCAGGGCAGTGCGGAGACGATGTAGTGGGCAAGGGAGACTCGGGAAGACAGTCTTCTCCCCCAGGAGCAACAGTGGGACCCGGTGTGGGGCAGGAGGGGGCTTTTGGTCCTGGAGATCATGAGAAACGAGAGCAACAATGGCTCTGATGGAACTCTGCTTCTCCCCTTATTCCAGAGGGGTTTTCTCAGTTTCAAATCTCAGCACCTCTCAAAAGCTGAGCAGGATGTGCCCCTATTGCCAAACCCCTGAATGGAGGCACAGGTGGAAGGTCCCCATAGATGCCCTGGCCTGGAGGGAGCTGCCCTTGGAGGGGGGAGCACAGGAGGAGGTGGTGGGGGCCCAGGCCTACCTTCCTTGCTGTGAGGTTTTGCCGTGGGGCCTCATTGCCCAGGGCACAAACTGGTTCCTCCTGCTCCCCCCAGGGTGAGGGCTGAAGGGGTGCTCGCTGCTCCTGGCTGTGTCCTGCTTTATCCCTATCCCTCTGTTGTGCCTCCACGACCACCGCTGCCACCACTACAACCTCCTGCACCTGCCTGTGGGGAGATGAGTATTTTGTTCATCATGCTGCCCCACAATTCCACATCTCCACAGTCACTTGCACAGCTGCATTCTTGTATGTCTGTCCACCCATACATCCCAGCATCAGGGTGCTGTGGCACCCCAAGACCCTCACTGGGGGCCCTCTTATCACCACAGCCCCACAGCAAGGACACTGCAGGGATACTGTGGGGACACTATAGGGGTACAGTGGGCAGCAGCTCCTGACAGACCCATGCCCAGCTCGGTGCCCAGTTGGCCGCCTCATCCCCCGCCTGCCGGGGTCAGGTTTCCCCCCTCCCCATACCTGCCTCTGTTCTTGACTTCTGAACTCTTCAGGGAACTCGCTGGCGCCAGCTCCATCAACCAAAGTCCTTGTGGTTAGGAGGAGTTGGGAAGGGAGGGAGGGAGCGAGGGCTGGGGCCAGCGGGTCCAGGGGGCTGCACCCAAGCAGGGGCCTTCTAGTCCCCCAAGTCTGCTGTTGCCTTCATCCTTCTCCAGAGACCAGCCTGAGCCTCTTCTCCTGCCCCTATACATGTGGGGCAGCTGGGGTTTCAAACCTCTGGAGGTCGATGGGAATTATTGATGAGTTTGGGGATGATGCACAACCCCAGGATTTAATTCCTGCACAGGCTACAGACCTCACCTGCAACCTTGGGGAAGCCATGCAGCTCATAGCATTGGGAATTTGCGCACTGCTTGTCTCAGCCCCATGGCAACGCCTGGTTCAGATGCTCCAGCTGAAACTGCTCCTGGCCTCAGTTTCCGTGGATGGGGCTCGAAAGAGCCATAGAGCACAAGGCTCTAGAAATGCCCTGCCTTGTGAGAACTGGCAGCTCACTCCTGCATTCAGCTCTCCAATTCTGGGACTGAAGGGGGCTTTGCACGCAGTGCTACAATTTCTCACACCCGGCCAAGTCAGGGCCATTCTTGGTGCTTTCAGGTTCACATCTCTAGAGGAGAGAAAATGGGGATCAGCACTCACTTTGAGGTGCATCCAGTGACCCTACAAATGAACAGCCCGGTGGCAGAGGTGTCCCAGGACAGCCAGCTCAGCCTTACATGCTCCTCACAGCCTTGAAACTTTTGCTCCCCCTCAGCCATCCTCAAGCAGCTACAGGAACAGGCTCATTCCCAAATTAGTGGCTCAGCCTTACCCCCAGCTCGGGGTTAGGGACTGGGAAAAGCCCTGTTGTGGAGACGAGACTGCTTCTCTCCCCTCCCACAAAGATCTGGGACCCTTTCTCAGGTTTTCTCATTGATCCGGTGCATCTGCCTCCTGCTAGCCGAGAGGGACAGCCCAACCGGGGCCTGACCTCCACCCTCTGCTCCCATTTCCTTCTGCTTTGCTGAATTTCGAGGGCTCCCCGTCGGACATCGCTCTTCTCCGGAGCTCGAGGCTCCGAGGAGCGCTGCGAGCTGCCCCCGGCCCGGCAGCTGCTGCGAAACACAAAGCCCTCCTGCGGGGACCGGGGACAAAAGTGGCACGCCTGGCACTTTGGCAGCGCCCCAGCAAGCGCTGCTCTTCCTCCAAAGACTGCGTTTCGAGCAGCACTTTCAGGAACTTGCAACATCTTCCCTATTTCCTAAAATCGGATCGAGCGACGGCTGCGGGCAGACCTCACTTCAATACCGGCACCCCAACCCCGGACGTCTCCTTCCCTTTTTCCTTCCTTAATTCGTTCATTTCTTTTGCCTGGGGGGCTCTCCAGGCCCCGGGCGATTATTCACCCTTCCGCACATCCATCACTCGCCGAAGTTCTCTCTCTCCCTCCCCGTCCCCTGTGAAATCAATTACCGAAGGCAGCACATGCGGGGCCGAGTCGCGCCCCTTTGGAGAGCAGCCACGTCTCGGTCCGTCGCGATCTGTCGCGACAGAGGCCGAGAAGAGCGCCTTCCCTCCACCTCCCTGCAGCAGCCGAAGCCGTGCGGGTTTCTCAGCTCCGAATCTCGTTTCCCTCATCGAGCAACGGCTCCCCAAAACCCCCGCCCCGTTGGGGCCGGGCGGGCAACGGCTTTCCTCGGGCTCGGAAAGGGTGGGCCGCTCTTCCTGAAAGCAATTAACACTATTTGGGGAATTTTTAATTGCTCTATAAAGCACGCCGTAAATAATTACTCCCAGCTCCGTTGATCCCTAGAATACGCACTGACAGCTGTAATTTATGGCTTTGGAAACGTGGCCCCTTGTATTCAGCATAACTCCTTATTACGGTAATGACTTAGCGCCGCTGCACTTAATGAGTATAAAGTGCCCGGCGCTGCGGGATCCACGGCACGGCGCAAACTTCACCCGCACCGATATTTCTCCCGTTTATGGTTACAAACGAGCGAACTGTGCGGGGCTCATAGGGCGGCGGGGCCGGGGGAGCGGAGCTCTGGGCCGCACTTCGGAGCTGAGGGATCCCCGTACTTCCCGGTGCGGTGTGCCTCTATTCCTGGCACAAGGGCATGCAACAGGCCGGTGGCCCGATGGGGACAAAATCACCGAGCTAGGTCCCTTCGGAGGGGACTGAAGCACCCGGGGGCACTCCATGAATATTCAACGTTCCCGCTCGCCGGAGGAGCATCTGCCAAGAAGTTATTGGTCTTGCGGCAGCAGCCCCTCTCCCCACCGTGCAGAAATGCGTGAAATCCCATTAGCCCCTTCCCCTCGGCCACCCGCCCCGCACCAGCCCCGCTAATGAACGGCGTCTGGCCGCCACCCCCGCGGGCACCGACGGCAACGAGGGAAACGGGGGCTCTGCCCCGTTAATAACTCCCGGCTTAATTACACACCTCTCGTGCCAGCTAATTGAGGCTCCGAATTCAACGAGGGAGCACGCGTGGGCTCCCGAAGCGCTGCCCCCTGCGACAGCCAGGCCTGTCGCGACCGAGCGGGTGGCTGCGTGCTGTCGGCAGCTGCCCCGCGTGTTTGTTTGCCGGGGGAGCGGCTTTTGTCTACCGCCTATTCCAGCCCCCGGGCCTTTTCGCGATCAGACAAAGTCCTGTTTTGCCAACAGATTTTTGTCTCTTCCCCTCGCTCCCTCCTCGCAGCTTAAAAGCAGCCCCCGAGGGCAGGGGCAGCTCCGCAAAGGGCGCGCGGACGGGGAGCGGCACGCCCGGCTCCGCTACTAGAGCAGCTTTCACTAACAAGAAGATCCAATAATAACTATCTTAATTATTGCAAACATTGTCACGGGCTTAGCCGTAAAACCTCCCAAACCCTCCTCGTGTTTGTTTGTTTGTTGGTTTGGGTTTTTTCTTTCCTCCCTTTTTCCCTCCCCGAGGTTAATTAGCACACAAAAAGCAAATAGAAATTACGGCAGAGCCAATGGGTAAATTTAAACCTAATTTGCTGCTGTTTGCATTAGCCCTCAGAGAGCATGGCCGGAGGCACCGCAGTCGGAAGGGACACGGATGAGACCGGACCGCCCCGCTCGGGCTGTGGGGACGGGGACGAGCCGTGCTCGGAGCCCCCGTTGCTCCTAAAGCCGGGGGGGACACCGCGCTCCGCACCTCTTCCTCCGCCCACAGGAGGAAAGCCGAGTTCTGCCTCTTTCAGCGCAGGGTGGGTTAGGGGTTACCTGTGACCAAAAAGAGGGAGACGATGGAAAGTTCGGTCGCAATGAGGTTTCCAAGCACAGCTCCCGTTCCGTAACGCGCACACCATACCCAGTCGTGGGGATTATCGGGGTTTAAACACCATCGAGCGTTTGCACAAACAGCTTTCTCCACACTTGTAAATTAAACTGATTAATTGCGTTGTTTCCAGGTGTATTAATTGCGTTTTCCACCTGCAATTAGTAGCGATTTCCAGTATCGCTG